AGTATCAGGAGAGTGCAAGCTATTTTTTAGTTCCTTAATAACAAGCCAGCGATGAAGAAAAAAAAAAAGACAATTTAAAGATGGAAAACATTAATTTTGTTTTTTTTTTTTATAAACCCAAGTTTGCAATTTTGAAAAGTGAATGTGAAATACTGCCTAGTTGCATTGTGGGTGATGTTTAATATGCAGTTTTTCATCTGACTTAGTGACAAATTGATAGAACGCCACCATAAAGCACTGCTCTAAATGAACATGGCCACCCAACCAATACTCGTCTTAGTACAGAAAGGTGTCAATGTGCTTCCCTTTGCCCACCAAATTGGCACTTTTTTTAAATGAAAGTGGAAGGAAGAATCACTTTATTGGGCAAACCAACCAAATAAAAAAAATTATATAAACAGCGCAAATCAAAGGACCTTCTCACCAAATAAATAGCATCAATAACCAAAACAATATAGAAATCAATAAAAAATATAATTTGTAAAGTGTCCAAGAAAAAAATATATACAGTGTGTACAAAAAAGTAAAAATAAATTAAGTATAAATAAAAAATAAAAAGTCCTTCTTCCCAAAATATATAATCATTTTCTCCCAAAGAAATGTGCTTCCATCCACCAGTGCAGAATCAACATCAATCGCACTCGCCAGATATTGGTGAGTATTGTGCCTTTTAGGGATCCTAAACCCCCTTTATGTTCTCCAAAGCTCCTTATCCGCCTTGAATTCAAAATTATTTTGATTATATAATTTGGGAAGAAGGACTTTTTATTTTTAGTTATACTTCATTTATTTTTACTTTTTTGTGCACAATTTATATATTTTCTTGGACACTTTACAAATTATATATATTTTTTATTGATTTTTATATTGTTTTGGTTATTGATGCTATTTATTTGGTGAGGAGGTCTTTTGATTTGCGCTGTTTATATATTATTTTTATTAATTGGTGTATTGCACCGATGCGCAGCAGCATACTTTTACCTTTATCACCTATTGTAAGGTTTTCTTGTGCGCTGGGGTTTGTGATATATTTAAACCAACCAAATGACCATTTCTCCATTTTTTTTTTTGTACCGAATATGGTGTGTCTAATGGGAAATGGACCCAAAGCTCCAGTTTTGCAATGTCACCATGTCTAGCTGTCACAGAATTTTCCACAAACAAAATATATTTTGGTATTTTAACCCCTTGAGACCAGCGCCTTTCAGCCCTTTGAGGGCTTTGGGAAGCCGGGAGGCAGGGTGGGGTTTAGGGTTATGTGACCTCCCTGATTGGCTGTCAAGGCAGTCACATGATCGTAATGCTCCCAACCACAAGTAGCGATTGGGACCTTTCTGTGAGGTGCAGTAATAGTGCCAGGAGCGAGCAGGGCACTCACACATCATGTTTACATTGGGTACGCAAATATGCAGCCCTTGGGTGTCAAGGCCCAGGCGTGGAGAGGCCAAATATTTGCATGTGCTCGGAATCAACAGGTTAAGTGGAAGCTAACCAAACTTACCGACAGAGTGTGTGCGCTCATATGGTTAGGTCAGGGACACTTCGAGAATATGTTACCTTAACATTTCAAATTCCTGAGGCTGCTGTACCATGTACTTGTATGAAAAAGTCTCCTGTTCTCTTTGTATAAAATTCCTGGTGTTCCAGCCAGCCTCTCTGCTTTCCTATTTCATACTGACCACACTAGGCATGAGAGCACAACGTGGTCAATCCTCTAGCTATGTTGGGAACTCAGGCTGCTTTCCTCCGATGATCAGACAAGTCCTACACACCCCCACACCCTTCCCCCTGCACAGCCATTCACTGGGAAGACCAGCGTTGTGGTTTCTCCTACCTGAGCTCTCCAAGTTCCTTTATGCAGCTGAGAACAGAAGTAAAAAAAAAAAAAAAGCGGGGGGGGGGGGGGGGGGGGTATTTGTAATGTTTTATATCTATACACAAATGTTTTGTCTTTTAGTTCTATTTTAAACTGAATGGATTGTTTTATGAGGTTAGGGTTTACATATACTTTAATTGTAAATGCCTTAAAGGAGAAATAGGGCCAAAGCCCTTGTTTGCTCCGCACTCCTGTGACCTGTATTCAGCCAGCAGCGGGCTAAAGTCCTCTGTCAGTTGATGTCACTCAGCCAGTCCAGGCTCAGGAAAGATCTGGATCATATGGTCAGGATCCACCCAGCAGCCTGGACCAGCACCTGGCTCACCTGGTGATCTGCCGAGAGCCTGAGCCAGCCTCTCCCGCCTGCTCCACAGCCCAGAGCTCCAGTGAGCAATGAGGGGGTGGACTGACAACTCATGGGGCCCCCGGGCAATAGGGGATCATTTGGCCACTGTGTCCTCGCCCAAACCCAAAAAAGCCTATGAAAAAGCCAATGAAAGGTAACAGGGGCATCTCATGGGTCCCCCTACTGACCCCGGGCCCTCGGGCAGAGCCAGAGTTTCCAAATGGTCAGTCCGGCGCTGGCGCAGACTGACAGTCATGGCTCTCTGTTCAGAATGGAGAGGGAGAACAGAGATCAGCAGTGTTTGATCGCTCAGTTCCAACTGCAGAGTCAGCAGGGGATCGATGCTGCATCCACCCAAGTGAATAGCAATGTTTGTTTGTTTTTTTTTTTGTCTTTCTGTATTTCTCTTAAGAGCAGGAAAGTACTGAATAGTTCAGTGTAGTCTGTCAAGTGCTATGTAAAATCTCTATATAAAAGCTATATACTTGAAATGAAATCTATGGGATTCCTTATTCTACCTAGCCCTACAGGACAAAACAGACTGAATGGGTTGTAAACAAAAACGATTGGGGAACCCAGATAAGACATACATTCTTATCTGGTCAGAGGAGCTTCCAATCGGCGCAGTGCTACTTCTAACCACAAGAGGGGGATGATTTTAGAATGATAAAGGATGATAGAGATTTATCTTGCTTACAGACTGAACAAATTATTTCTTAATTCTGCGCTGGATGTCCAGGCATTTGCCTACATAAATATTCCCTCCGAGTCGCTATCTCTCTCCTGCCACCGTCTACATGCAGATTGTAATTATCTTCCGCTCCCTTGTATCCTCCTATGAATAAACTATATTAAAATCCATAACAAGAAAGCAGATGGAATATAATGCACGTGTCATTGAAAATCACAATGCTGCACACTTCTTTTTTTTTTTACAATTGAGGAGGGGATATTGAAGTCATCACTAGCATAGCCACAGTTACCAGCCCGATAAGGAATGGAATTAATTTGCCAGCTTGCAATTTGGATTGGAACTCCCAAGATAACCTTCACAGAATTTAACCCATTGGAGATAATTACTGGAGATTACATAGCCGCACATTCCGAGAAAACTTTAATTAAAGAAAAAAAAATCTGCCTTAATCAATATTGAAACAATGCTCCGTCTCCTAGGAGTAACATCTTACTCAATGGTGTTCAGGTCTGAAACAGACTCTACGTCACGTATGACTAGAATAATCAAGCTGCTCACAGAAGAAAAATAACATTCCTAAAGAATGGCCTGACAGCTACAGTATATATCAAGCAATACCAAAGAGTAGCTAGTGCCACTGCTTGATGAACAAATTCCTCGCATTGTCTGTGAAGCAGTGTATTCTGGAGCTGCCAAAACTGCAAAGATACTGACTGTTCATGTAAAGTGATATTAACCCCTTCACACCTAAGGGCAAAAATTTTTTAAAGCCTAAGTAAAATTTTACGACATTGACATGTGTTAGTAAAACAAAATATTTTGTGCATCCAGGTGGATTATACCTTGTTTTCTTCAGGACAAATTGGGCTTTCATTTCATTTTTTTCAATTATAATTGAAAGGAATTATAATATAAAAGGAAAATTGGCCCTAAATAGTATAAATGTTTTTTTTTTTGTTTAAATTTAGCTGTGCTTCTTACCGCTATAACCTACCACCAAAGAACAACCTAAAATACATTTTCCAGCTCCTGACGATCACAGCGATACCATATATGTGTATGCTAGTTGTTGTTTGTACCTGTAGTACAGCCCAGAAACAATAGTGCCCATTTTGTTTTGTTTTTTTTTCACCTAAAACACACCGACACTAATTTTAAAAAAATACTGACCTTTGACCCTGACCTTGACCCAAACACAAACCCCGGCACTGAACTAGATCAAACCTTGATCTAGGTATTTTTTATTTAGTTTTTTTTTAATATTTATGGTTTTTTTCCCTCTATGGGGCAGGCTTTACATGGATTTCTCATTGTGATAGCCAATCAGATGCTAGCCATCACAGAGATCATGTGACCCAGAATCAGGAGTCCCGGGTCCAGATCGTAAGAATGGGACCCAGGGTTCTCAGTGACACCCCGGTCTTTGTGCTAGGAGCCCGCTATGCAGCATGCTTCCAGCACAAAGACAGGTATGCACAGAAAAAAAAAGCCCACTTCTGTGAGGCGGCATATTTGTGTTTTTCGTCAGTGCCAAGGGGTTAAAGTATAATTATTTTTTTCTTAACCACTTGCCTATCGGGCACTTTCACCACCCCCTTCCTGTCAAGGCCAATTTTCAGCGCTGTTGCACTTTGAATGACAATTGTGCGGTCATGCAACACTGTACCCATATGAAAAATTTTTATCATTTTTTTGAGACAGATAGGCTGGCCATACATTATACAATTATCTGCAGATTTTCTGCCCAATTTCCTTTAGATTTACCTTCAACTATGTAGTGCAAGGGCCTGCCTAATTGGATACAACTGAAAGTGTTGTTTAGGTTTGTCCTCCTATTATATGGTTTTTGGTAAATCTAAACCAAAAATCTGCAGAGAATTGTATAATGTATGGCCAGCCATACAGCTTTATTGAAATTTATAGTTTTTATAGCTTTTTTTTTTTTTAGGTGGTATTTATTCACTGCTGGGATTTTTATTTTTTTTGCTATGTAAATGAAAACGTCCAAAAAGTTTGAAAAAAGTTTTTTTATAAAATTTTGCAAATAAATAATATTTCATCATAAAAGTTTTTTTCCTTAGTTTCTGTTATAAAATTTTGTAAAGGAGTAATTTTTATCCTTTACTGATGTGCGCTAATGAGGCTCCAGTGATGTGCACTGATAGGCGGCACTGATGAGGAAGCATTGGTAGGTGGCACTGATGGGCATTGACAGGCATCACTGGTGGGCATTCACAGACATCACTGATGGGCACTGAAAGGCAGTACTTATATATGGCACTGATAGGCAGCACTGACTGGAACTGTTAGGTGGCACTAATTGGCAGCACTCATAGGTGGCACTAACACAGATAGGTGGCACTGATAGGCAGCTCAGATGGGCACTGACATGTGGCATTGATGAACAATGACAGCTGGCATTGATGGAGCTACACTGATCATCAGGGCACTGGTCATCAGTGCCCTGATGATCAGTGTAGATGTCCCCTCTGAGGAATGCCGATTACCGGCTCTCCTCATGAGCTGTCAGTGTGATAACCGGCATTTCCTTATTTATCGGCTCTTTCCGCTGATCGGTGATCCGCTGTGTCCCATATGCAGATAGAGTGAGAGGACGTCATATAACGTCCTCCCAGAACGAGAGACCCGCCTTGCGCCTGTCATTTCCTTACATGGCGGGCGGGAGGCAGTTAAAATAAATCACATAGTATACTTACCTGCTCTGTGCAATGATATTGCACAGAGCAGACCTTTACTTCCTCTCTGGCAGTCCCCCACCGGTGCTGTCTGCTCCTGCTTCCTCCAGGTGCCTCCCTAGTAAGCCATGTGTTTTAGGAGCACGCGAGGCATGCTTGCTGCCAAGCCAGGCTGTGTGTGCCCATAGACCTGTGCACAAATGTGTCAATAGCATTTAGGTGGCATTTATTCAGCATTTTTAAAGCCTCATAACCGCCCTCCAATGTCTGCCATGAATGTTACAATGGGCACCAAAGAGTAACATTGTGTTGTGTCACAGATGAAGCAGCATGTTGCTTTCATGAGGCATCGATGCTTGTCAGCCACCTCCTATGATTTCAATTGTAATGCTCTGTAACCGCACCTATAGCATTTATGACGTGTTAGTGAAGCATTTTTTACATGCACAGGGAAATTGTTGCCCTTTATCAGCTGACAGGGCAGAGCAGCTCCAGGCTCGGGAAGCATCCCAATAATATTGTTGCGATCCAATCCTGCTGCCTGACTGACAGCTGGCTGCACCTTTCAGCGCCTCCCTCCCCCCCCTCCCCAGCCTGGAGCTCTAGGGAACGCTGGAGGAGCAGAGTGGAGAGCAGTGACCGACAATCACCACTCTCGGCAGACCAATAACTGAGCAATCAGTGATCATGCAATCACTCTTTATGATCTTAGAACTAATGTGCGACAGATGCTGCAGCATGGAGGTGACTATGTAGGTTTATGTTTTTTCAATCCCATACTTCCCCTTTAAGGATGATAAAAAAAAAAAATAAAAAAAAAAGGATGGGTAGGTGCAAGATCAGGTATGAGGTGGGGCAGTGCCATGAAAGTGCGCAGTATTGCAGTTTTTGAAAAATGTTACACAAAAAACACAAACCACACAACACACTAAAACACACACTATACACAATACACATATACACACACACACACTATACACATAAACAACACACACACTAAAAAAAATAAAACACACACACAAATACACATAACACAAAACCCACACCCCACACACACACACACAAAATACAAAAAACAACAAAACACACACACACCAAACACAACAACACACAAACAAAAAACACATACACACACAAAAAAACAACAACACAAAAACACAAACAACAAAAAACACACACACACACAAAAAAAAAAACAAAAAAAAACACACCCACTATACAACAACAACACACACACCCAACACAAAAAAAACAACACACACACACACAAACAAAAAAAAAACACACACAAAAAAACACACAAACACACTAACAAAAAACCCCACAACAACCCCCACCAAAAAAAAAAACAAAAAAAAAAACACACCCAAACACAAAACACACACAACCCACACCCACAAACCCCCCAAACACACACACAAAAAAACAAACACAACACTATACACTCACACACACCCACACACCACAAAACACCCCCCAACACACAAACCCCAACACACAAAATAAACACAACACACAAACCCCAAACAACACCAAACACACACACACAATAACACATACAAAACCAACACAAACACACACACACACACACCCCACATACACTAACAACACTATACAACACACACACACTATACAACAAAACACACACACACACTATACACATACAAAAAACAACACACTAACAACACACACACACACTAACACAATACACACACAAACCCCCCACACACACACACAACACACACACACACACATCGGGGCACACAGCGCTCTTCACATTGTTTATTGCTTTTTGTGGTTCAGACAGGTATGTGCAGATCATGGGAATGCATAGAAGAGTAGAAAGCCCCCATTACTCAAGATCACCATCACACTCACTGCCTACAATCTTGCCTGCAAATAGCTCATTGTAATAATGAAATGTATCTGGACTCTTTCATAAAGTGCTTTGTTAGGATACATGAATGATTAGCTTCAAGAAAACCAGTCACACAAAGCAATTAGGAAACGGGAAACCTTCAACATGTGCCTCCCCATAGTCTAGATCCCTGGTGATCACATGCGCCCCTCGGAGACCTTCCAAAACCTAATCTGTGTTTACTTATTGTCCGGTTATAGTAGTGATTTCTAGCAGCCTCATATGATGTCTCCATTCTATGACTTTCCTGAAGCAAGACCCTAGTTTCCAATTCCTATGGCATGTTCAGTCTCTGACCATCTCTTGTATGATGTCCACGGTCCCTGACCATCTCTTTTTATCATCTCAGCAATCTCTGACCATGTCTTGTATGATGTCCACGGTCTCTGACCATCTCTTTTATCATGTCAGCAATCTCTGACCATCTCTTGTATGATGTCCACGGTCTCTGACCATCTCTTGTATGATGTCCACGGTCTCTGACCATCTCTTGTATGATGCCCACGGTCTCTGACCATCTCTTGTATGATGTCCACGGTCTCTGACCATCTCTTGTATGATGTCTACGGTCTCTGACCATCTCTTGTATGATGTCCACGGTCTCTGACCATCTCTTGTATGATGCCCACGGTCTCTGACCATCTCTTGTATGATGCCCACGGTCTCTGACAATCTCTTGTATGATGCCCACGGTCTCTGACCATCTCTTGTATGATGTCCACGGTCTCTGACCATCTCTTGTATGATGTCCACGGTCTCTGACCATCTCTTGTATGATGTCCACGGTCTCTGACCATCTCTTGTATGATGCCCACGGTTTCTGACCATCTCTTTTATCATGTCAGCAATCTCTGACCATCTCTTGTACCCTGCCCATGGTACTATCTTGTTGTGTGTTTGCTGTCTCTGATAATGTCTATTTACTTAATTTCATGTGCGGCCCTTTGGGGATGTTGGGGGCTATACATGAGGGGCCCCCTTATCAAGAAAGTTGACCACCACTGGTTTAGATCGTCTGCAACCAAGAATTTGTATTACAACATATGTCCTTGGCAGTCAAACAAAGACCAAATTGAACTACTTTGGACATCATGTTGGAGAGTTATTGAGTCTTCATTTCCTTTCACTAGCAATTTTGGTGACTAAATAGGAGTGGTGAAGAATGGGACCTCCCAGGTTGGTCAACCTACATCTTCTGCTTCATCACATACTTAGAACATGTAAGTAAGATGGAAATTTAGACTTTTTAGACTTCATTTGCTGCATATTTGTTCCAAGTCAGTTACCTTTTAGGTAAAAGAGCAAGGGTCAGTATTATAGCCTCAGAGATTGCACCAGGCAGGTTGACTTTAAAGAAATATTCCTGTCTTATGGAAAAACAATATCTGTCCGGGGTGATCCAGAAAGCGTACCAGGGCAGGTTCAGTGCATCATTGGAGCTAGCTGCCTACAAAGTCCTAACAACACCTTTTATAGAAGTCTGCCGCCGCTTAGATTTTTTTTTCATCAATGAAAAGCTCTCTTTTAGCTACGCATAGATAATTTCTTAAAATATGGACCCCATGGTTCCAACATGCCCACCCCTCCATGTTGACCACCAGTTACACATCATTAAAAGTACAGAGATCCTGAGGTTCGGGTGCTCTTAATGTTCTTCCCTGCTTCTCTTTGCTCTCTCCTTTATTTCTGGGTTCTTCTGCAGGGACGATCTGGGAATCGAGATCTGTTCCTATGTATTTTTCTGTTTTGATTTTTGCACAATGAAGTATTCACAGTGACATCTCATCCATCTACGCCTGTTTTGGTGATACATATGGTTTATCTCTTGTTATTTATACTGTTCCTATGTTAATACGTTATCGATGTACCTTTGATATGACAAATGTTTTGTTACTTGTTACAGTCTGTGTATGTGATGTATTATCGCTCGACTCACAAGTCACAGTTTGTGCTTTTATCACATGATAGCAGTAACAAATATCTTTCAAGAAATTTTTATTGAAATAAATTTTGTAAGAAAAAAAATACAAAAAACAAAGCCCTACACTAAACACTCTACTAGCTAGTAAAACATAATCCTAATGAATGTGAATGTTCTCATTAATCCAGGTCATGATATAGCTAGTAGCAGTAAGTCACATCTAACTAAACTTGTTCTCTTAAAGTTCCCTGAACCTGAGACATCTCTCTCTCTCTGTCCAGCGCTATGCCCATCTGCCATTGGCTCCTGCTGCTGTCTATAACATCCTGTGAGGAGGGGTCAGGGGGCACGGCTGAGCTCAGCTTTGCATCTAAGAACGCACACAGCCCAGCTCGGGAGCCTCCTCAGCACACAGCTTGCAGAGGGGGCACTTAGAGAAGAGAAGAGGAGAACACTGGGGGAAGCAGGAGAGGAGGTAAGAGACCATTTACCAGTGCACAGAGCAAATATAACATTTTATTATCCTAGGAAAAAAAAAAAAGCTCTTCAAATCCTTTTAACCACTTGCCCTCTATAGGATTTACCCCCCTTCCTGACCAGGCCATTTTTTGCGTTACGGAGCTGCGTTATTTTAACAATTGCACGGTCATGCAATGCTGCACCCAAATGAAATTTACGTCCTTTTTTCCCCACAAATAGAGCTATCTTTCGGTGGTATTTGATCACCTGTGTGGTTTTTATTTTTTTTGCGCTATAAACAAAAAAAGACAAAACATTTTTGAGAGAGAAAAAAAAAATATTTTGGACTATTTACTATTAATGTCCAATAATAAAAAAAAAAAATCAAATTTAGTCATAAATTTAGGGCAAAATGTATTC